AAAAATAATAAATAAATAAAAAGAACCATCTGGATCCAACATATTTTTAAAAAATATAATTTAAGTATTTCTTTTCTCAATAAATAAATAAATATATATATATATATCCAATTAGAAAAACTCATTCTATAAACTTAAATATATACATAAAAGAAATATATATACATTAAAAAAGTTTACGCTTGTCTAGTGTTTTAAATTTGAAATAATTTCATGTTAATTATAAAAAATTATGTTTAATGATATAAAATAAAATATTTTATGTTGAAGTATAATTTTTTTAAAAAATAAAATAAAAAATATATTATTGATATATGTAGACATTAAAAATTAAATGTCTAAATTAAATTAAATATCATGTATTATGGAAGAAAATAAAATTCCAATAATATAAATATATGGTATTTAATTATGCACATATGTTAATTTTTGTACAATAAATATCAACCATTAATGCAAAAATCTGCTTAAAATGGAAGATATCGTACAAATATTACGTGCATAAATAAAACCATAATAAATTTGGCAGCAAAATAAATTAATCTTGTCAATAAAGGAAGTATATAAATTAATATCTTCCAAACAAGGCAATGATATAAAGATCTTGTCAATAAAGGAAGTATATAAATTAATATCTTCCAAAAAAAGGCAATGATATAAAGATTTTGGCGAGAAAGGAAGGTGCATAATCAAATCCGTCAAAAATGGAAAACAGCATCCGATGAAAAAGGAAATATTATAAAATCTTTCCATCCACGTGGCACCATCCGAAAAGGAAGCCAAGGCCACCATCCCATATAAATAGAAGCCTTGGCCAATTCATTTACACATCGAAGTTCATTTGAAGACTTGCGCAAGGGTAAGTCTCTCTAGACTCTCTGCAATGATCTTCATTGTTCTTCGTGTCTTTCGAAGCGTTTTTCGTCGAAAAGTCACCGATTTGGACAAATGATCCAATATTGGTTGACGAATCGATGGAGTTAACGTTCTTCGTCGTATGTCCGAGCCAGAGGAAAGATCAAAGCTCTCAAAGCCATCGAGAAATCCATCAAAGCCAAGGAAGAGCCTCCAAAGTCGCTCCCAAAGCTTCAAGATGTTCGTCGCGTTCTTCATAAAAGGCGCAAACCAGGCCATCTTCGATCCAAAAGTCAAAGGGACACGCCGCCAAAAGCGTTATGAAGCACCAAATCCCTCCCTTAAAGATCAAATTCTGTCGGATCATCCAAAGAAGACATCAATCCAAAGTTGATGATCAAAATCGCCAACACGGATACCAAAGTTTCCTAAAAACCGACGAAGTCAAACTGAAGACCAAAATCCCTTCGGATCAAAGAAGCCACCCAAATCCAAATTGGAAAAATGGATCGACCCGGAGAGAATCAAAGGATCCGAATAGAGAATATGACCCGCATATATTTAAATTAAATGTAATTTATACGATTTTGTGTTTATAAAAATATAACACAATTTTTTTGTCTACAATATATATTAATTTGTGTATTTATTGTATTTTTATATTATATTACGAACAAAAATAAATGATCCGTCTTTCTTTGCTTCTATTATTATTATTATTATTATATACTATAGTTTATATTTGTTACATTATTGAGTGTGTTTTTCTATTTGGGTTATACATTTTTCTTTAAAAATATATATATATATATTTATAAAATATTTTATTAAATATTATTTTAATATCAAATTCAAACTAAAAAATTAAAGCAAAATCAAAAGAAACACACCCTAAATATAATAAAACTCAAACTTATGAGTGAATTTAACTTGACGAGGGAAGTATTAATGAACCGTGTTTGTCTTGTTTGTATCTATGGGGCTTGTTTGGATTTGGGCCAAACCAAAACCAACTTTATTCATGTATTTACGTTATTGTTTTTAAATAAAAATATATTATTTTTTTAATAAAATATTACATTAAAATTAAAAATCCTAACTTAAATCAAACTCAAACAAAACTATGATTTTTTTTTTTCACCTAACACATGCACCCATTTTAATCATACATTTTACAATATAAAATTGAAATTTTTTATTTCAAGAATAAAAACTCGTACATATTTATAATCAAATCATCTAAATAAAAGAAAAATACTATAAATCTCTTACATAAGATAACTATCATAAATATAATATTTCTTCCGTCCAGCTAAAAAATATACATATTTATATTTTGGGACGTCTAATTAGAAAGTAGACATTTCATTAAATACCTTACTTTTTTTTCCACAAATACCCTTACTTTACATCACATCATTACTTTTACACAAAAAATCAAGGGCAAAAATATCATTACACTACTTTTAACTACCTACTATAATTAAAATACAATTATTTCTTAAACACCGCGCCAAAAGTAATTGTATACTTTATGAGTGGACGGAGGGAGTATATATTTTATAAATAATTTAACATCCCTCCTCAAACTCAAGATATGATCGGACAAATTTAAGTTTGTCAGAACACTACAAGAAATTATCAATTTTCTAACGAGGTTTTTTCGTTCCTAAATTCACTTTTTCCGTTACTAATGATATTAGAGACGGAATTAGATATTGAATTACGTTAGCTACGTGAACTTTAGGAACGGAATTCCGTTACAAATATACTATTTTTTTTTTGTAGTGGAAGTGACCGAAAAAAAAAGTAACCGAGATCGTCCACGAACGAACTTAAATTTGCCAAGATTGACGAAAGTGGTGTAGCCGTTCACTAGATCAGAGTTAGAAGCATAACTCTCAATACTTTAAAGTTGGAAATAGGACTCGCTCGTTCATATCGAAACTAGAGTTGAAAAGAAGACTTACTCACTCTTAATAGAGCTAGAGTCGAAAAGAAGACTCACTCACTTTTAATAGAGTTTGAGTCGAAAAGAAGATTCACTCACTCTTAATAGAGCTAGAGTCGAAAACAGGACTCGCTTGCTCACAACAGAGTTAGAGTCGAAGACAAAACTTGCTCGCTCTTAATAGAATTAAAGTTAAAAACAAGAATCTCAAAGGCGTTAAAAGTCAAAAGTAGAACTTTATCAGTAAAGATCGAAGTATCAGAGATGGAGACAACATGAAAATGACAGCATAACCGTGGATAGATGCACATACATCAATAAAATATAAAAACATATACGGATATAACGGGTCAATGTCTAGAGTATGAAATTGAAATTATTTATTTCAATCATAAGAAATCGTACTTATTTATAATCAAATTATCTAAATAAAGCAAGAACACTACAAATCTCTTAAAAAAGATAACTCCCATAAATATAATACTCCATCCGTCCACAATCTATCTATCTATTTGCTTTTTGCACGGAGTTTTAGAAATATTAGTATTATATTGGGATAAAGTAGAAATAAATGTAAAAAGACTAAATTAACCCTATTAGTATTGTATGATATAAAGGTAATGGCATTTGTGTAATATATTGTAAATTAGAAGAGTATTTGTAATGTTAGGTAGATAGTACAATTACTAAAAAAATGAAACAGATACTTTGTTATAAGACGGACTAAAATGGAAAAATTGATAGATTGTTAAGGGACGGAGGGAGTATTACCTTGTTCCCATAACAAATGTATTATTTGTTTTTTGCGTATTGTATATAACATTAAAAATATCGTTATATTTATATAATTTACTTCACAAATGTCATTGTATTTGTATTATAAAATACTAATAGAGATATTTTTGTATTTTTCTCTTAATTTGTATTACGTATTAATATAATAATTAATATTCAAATATCAACCTAAAAAAATCAATAGTACTCTTTTTATGAGACGGATGTAGTATATATTTTCTAAATATATTTTAACAATAGGAAACTAAAACTCAATTATTGTTCCGTAAAGAATAAACCGGTGTTATGTGGATAAACTTGTAATTGTGAATGTGAAGTCATATATTTAAACCCCTCAACCCTTTCATATTATATATTTTTATTAATTTTTGTTTATTAAGAAGTACTCTTCTTGTCTACCAGTTTTTATTTTATCATTTAAAAATAATATAAAAAATAAAAAGTAAACAAACTAAAATGACAAATAATATAAAAAGTAAAAACTAGATAAATTAAAATGAAAAAATAATATGGAAAGTAAAAATATAGACAAACCAAAACGGTAAGGGAGAATATTACTTTTTTTATTATAATAAAAATAATTATATCTACCAAAGTAATTTTAATTTTTTATAAAATATTTATTTTTTTGTAATGGTAAAGACAAAAATATCAAAATCTTTTTATATACTTTTATTAACCCATAAAATATTTTAATTTTTTAATTTACTATAAAAATACTCTCTCCGTCCCCAATCTATCTATTCATTTTGTTTATGCACGGGATTTTAGGAATATTAGTATTATATTGGGATAAAGTACAAATAAAAGTAAAAAGACTAAATTAACCCTATTAGTATTGTATGATATAGAGGTAATAACATTTGTGTAATACATTGTAAATTATAAGGGTATTTGTAATGTTAGGTAGATAGTACAATTACTAAAAAAGGAAACGGATATTTTGTTATGAGACGGACCAAAATAAAAAAATGAATAGTTTGTTAATGGACGGAGGGAGTATTAAACTATATTTGAACAAGAAACAATACTAACACTAATCACTACAATACTAAAAATAGTATGAATTAAACCTAAGAGCATCGCATCAATTTCTACATATGATGACCGTATACACGAATTTATGAGAAGTATAATTAATAAATAATTAATAATAAATTAATAAAAATAAAATAAATTAAAATTTAAATAATTAATTAATCTAATTAAAATTTAAATTAAAAAATTTAAAATTAAATTAGAATATATAATTTTATTAAAAAAAATAATAAAATAAATGGGACATACAACAAAAATAGACATGATATATAAGAGGATGGTATTATTAAATTTTCAGATGATAAAGGCTAAGATATTTATTTAAAATTTAAAAAAATAAATGAAAATAATTATTAGTGTGGATCCCCATCTCCATCCACTCCCTCCACCCTCTCTCACTCACTTTCGTACACTCAGAGACACAACACTCGCAGAAATGGCGACCCTAATCTCCACTTCCATTTTTACCCCTCTCACATTCCTCAATTTACTTCTCCTCTCCTCCCAAACCCTCCCCGTCGCCTCCCTTAACATCACCCAAATCCTCGCCCCATTCCCGGATCTCTCCGCCTTCGCCGCCCTCCTCACCTCCACCGCGGTCGCCGGCGATCTATCCAACCTCTCCGCCGTCACAGTCCTCGCCGTCCCCAACTCCTACCTCCGCTCCGACCGACCGCCGGCTTCCGGTACCAATCTCGCCGATGTCCTCCGCTACCACATCCTCCTCCAGTACCTCTCGCTTTCCGACCTCCGCCGCGCCCCGCCGACGGGGAAATTAATGACGACGCTGCTACAGACGACCGGCCGGGCGGCGGATAAGTTCGCCGCCGTGAACATCACCTTCGACGCCGCCTCCGCCGCCGTGACTTTCCACTCCCCGTCCTCGAACGCCTCTCTGATTTCCCCAATTGAAACCCTACCGTACAACCTCTCCATCCTCTCCATCGATTCGCTGCTGGTACCGTACAATATGAACCTCATGGCGTCGGAGACCCGCCCTCCGGTGGGGCTGAACATCACCAAATCCCTAATCGACGGCCACAGCTTCAACGTGGCGGCGTCGATGCTCTCCGCCTCCGGTTTAGTCTCCGAATTCGAAGCCGACGAGGCCGGCGCCGGAATCACCCTCTTCGCCCCCACCGACGAAGCTTTCTCCGATCTGCCGCCGTCCGTACGATTCCAATCCCTACCGGCGGAGAAGAAGGCGGCCGTACTCCGGTTCCACGTGCTCCATTCCTACTACCCGCTCGGCTCCCTCGAGTCCATCGTGAACCCGGTTTACCCGACCCTGGCAACCGAGCAAAACGGGGCGGGTAGTTTCACCGTCAACATCTCCCGGGTTAACGGGTCGGTCGCAATCGACACGGGTATTGTACAGGCGGCGGTTACCCAAACGGTTTGCGATCAAAACCCGGTCGCCATTTTTGGCGTCTCCAAGGTTCTGCTCCCCAAGGAATTCTTCGGGAAGAATCCAATCGGTATGAACGAGAACGAGCCTAGCCACGCCGGCGGAGCGATCAACCCAGCTCCGCCGCCGGAAATAGCGCTCCCGCCGCAGTATCCCGCCGTGTACGGTCCGCCCAGCCATATAACCTCCCCGCCGGGGCTGGAACTCCGGGCGGCGGCGGCGGCGGTGGCGCGTGGGGAATTATTAGCTCTGAGAGTTGGCGTTTTCCGGTGGTGGTGTTGCGTTATACTGTTTTGTCATCTAATCCTGCTGCTGTGAGATCATCAATTCGATTATTCCCCACCATGGGAGTGAATTCAACCCTTGACAGCTGCATTTGATCCATCCTGCAGAAGCCATTTTTCAACTGGGATTCGTCGATTGAATGAGGTAAAAATTCAATTAGTACCTTTTGAATGGAATTAATGTGTAATTCTTCGATTCATAAATCGATCTTCATTATGATTCTTCTTGATATTTATGGAATTGGCATTCCTGTGCATATAGATTTGATCACACATATATATATATATATATACATAGAAGAGAAGTAGTACCAATTTTGCAGCACGCACGGCGCACGTGCCAGCACTGTAAATTGTAAATGTAATGTGGGTTTTCCTTTTAAGCATTTTAGTTTCCTGCCATTAATGGAGTGCTGTAAAAGCTGTAGAAGGTTAGTGTTTGCGTGATGACAGTTGAGAAGAAAGAAGCTTTGGGGAAAGTAAATCCTTTGCAGAAATGGCGATGAAAAGTAACTTATGTTTCAAGTACCCACAGCCTGCTGCTTTTCTTTTGCTGGCCTTAATATTAAATTGCTTCCATTTTTTGAACATACATTATGCTTGATTATTTTTGGTACTTTCTTCTGTCTCTTGGACAGCATACGGTGTTACTAAATAAAAAAATATGTATTCAATAATACAAATATTACGGCACATGAACAAAAAAGCACATGTTATAGTTTTATACAACACATATATAGACAATATGTACTGTGTATATAAGACGGTGTGCTATTTATATATATTACGGGCCTAACTGATTGCTAGTCCCAAGTATCTACTCTCTTCTCATATGTCGAACATATTATGTAATTTTATTTTTATTTTTTAAAAATATATATTTTTTAATTGTGTTTTAAATGTTATAGTTTTTAATTTTTTAAGTTTTAATTAGATTAATTAGTTATTTTAATATTAATTATTTATATTATATTGTGATTAGTTTTATTGATTTATTTTTAAATATTACTAATTCTATTTCTTTTGAATTTTTGTGTACATAGCATGACATTATATCTAGAGGACGAGAGTATTTCTTAAGCCTTTAGCCTTATTATTATTATTATTATTATTATTATTATTATTCAATATTACGATATTTAGCTTTATAAATATGTATTGGATCTCTGATTTGGTCCTATATTTTAGAGTACTACGTACGTACTTACCATGCATTAGCTTTCTTCATTTTATTTTTTTATTATAATTTTCAGGATAATTTACTGCACAACTTTTACAATTTATTTCAATTAAATATATCACATTAAACTCTCGCACGTACACTATTGTTCAAACCATCTCATAATTCTCATTTAAAAATATTTTTTTTATTTTTTTTAAAAAAAGGAAATTTCACCCAAATAATGTTTAGAATATTAAATTAAAATTATTTGTAATTGAAAAAGTTTTACTCCATTCGTCCCGAAGAATAATTTCATTGGGGGTGCGGTGCAAGATTTAAAAAATGATAATATTATATTGAAAATGGTGTAATGTAGATAATAAAATTATCTTTGTAAATATATTGATATAAAGAGTAATAATATTTGTGTAATAATTTAAAAAAAAATAGAAATAATTTATGATAATATGATTATTTATGAAAATAAAATTATTGTTTTAAAAAAAAAAAATATGATAGTTGTATCATAAGAAGTCATAAAATAGCTATAAATCTCTAAAATATGGTAATTACCATAAATATATTTTAACTCTTCTATTTAAGAAAAAATCAAATTATCTTAAGTTTGAAAAAAAAGTTGAACACCAAAAACAATTATTGTCCAACATTATCTAAGCTTAACAGTCACTTGTCCGATGTTGTCTCCGCCGCTTTTGATTGAACTTATGTTCTCTCCAAAATGCAAACACTAATTCAAGTGCATAAGATGCAAACGCAAATAACAATTGATTGTCCGACGTTGCCGCTGCTTATAACTAAGCTCTTGTTCTCGCAAATAACAATTGTTCGTTCGACGTTTCCTCTGCCGATCTTGACTAAGCTCTTGTTCTCGAATTCTAAAGGTCTTATTTACTTCTTGTGTGTTGATATTTGAATATTAATTATTATATGAAAATATAGTGCAAATAAAGGGAAAATGACAAAAATACTTTTATTAATGTCTTATAGTACTATTATAATGACATTTGTGCAAAAAAAAAAAAAATTATACAACTATAAGAATATTTTTAATATTAAGTATAATGACGCCAAAAGTAAATGAGACCCTTAAAATCGGATATAGAGAATATATTATATTGAATTATTAATTTTTTGTACATAAATAAAATATATAATATATATTGTATTAATATATGCATATTATGTTTTTAATAATATTTATAGAAAATAACGTTATTTAAAAATATTAAGTTAACATATTCAACCTCTTATATTGACTTATATAATGAACACAAAAAAATTCTACAATATTTTTTTATTTTTTTATTATAAATTTTATAATTTATTTTTTTAAAAAAATATCACACCCATCACTTTTTTTTTTCATACAAAATATAATGTGTTTGTGTGTAAGGCTTTGTTTTGATTTTACTATTAAAAAAAGTCTCCAAAATATTGATTTAAATATTTGTTTTTTATTTATTATATTATATTAAAATTTATTTTATATTTAAATTATCACATCAATATATATATTTATAACACATCAAATAACAATATCTATTCAAAATGAAAACATGTTTAGGATTTTGGTTTGAAGTTTATTTTTTAATGTAAAATATAAAGAATAAAAGAATTACATCAATAATATTAAAAATAATATTTTATAATTAAATATTAATTTTTTTGAGATTACTATATATTATAACACTGTAAAAATAAAAATTTAAGAGTTTAATTAATAAATAATTAAAAGTATATTACTTAATATAATTATAAATTAAAATAAAAATAATTAATATAATTAAACTTAAACTTTTTAAATTTTAAAATATGTAATTTTTTTAGAAAAGGCAGACCGAACGTATACCCAATCTGTTCGTATCCATTTTATTTTTATTTTGCTTAGAAATGGTTTTTAAAACATGAAGTGAGAAATTCAAATTACAAAAGGAAAAATGTCAAATGTCAAATTCAAAGAAATGACACGTGTCATTTTGTTAGTGGTGCAGGGCAGGCTCGGCTGTTATCTGTGATGGGATTCAAAGTCTCACGCACACCATTATTGCTGTCTGTAGAGAATACGACATTTTATACATGCAATACTTTCTTAAAATAATACTCCTTTCGACCCAGATAATTTATCCCTATTTTTTATTTTTATCCGTCTTACATAATTTGTCATTTCTATTTTTAAAAATATAATTATACACTTTAATCGCATTTTAAATTTTAAAATTTATAATTTTCTTAATTTTAATTAAACTATTTACTTATTTTAATCTTAATCTATAATTATTTTTACTAAATAATAATTATTTTTATTAATATATTTCTTAATTACTTACTAATTATACTTTACCTAAATTCTCGTGTCTACAGTAATACACCCATGTTACATGGGACGGAGGGAGTACTCCCTTTCTCCCGTGAAAGATTGAAGGCGATTTAATTAACTGTTAGTTATTAGCTGATTCAATTAGTTGGTTTGACTAGCTGATTCAATTAGCGGTTTGTATTAAAGTGTTTGGTAAAACAACGGTTTGATATTAGTTGTTTATGCATAAAATGACTATTAAGGACATTGATATGTTATTTTTTAAAATACTTAATTTTGTTCATTTTGGTTTGAAATTTATGAAAATTTTTGTTATTAATTATTGAAAATTATAAAAATATTATAAAATATTTATTTTATTTTTATTTTTTAGATGTGAGAAAATTATTTTTACTAAAAAATAATAATTTTTTATTAAATTTATGTAAAATATAAAATAATAAATCTTTTGTATATATATTTTTATTATGTTAATTGTTGTTTTAATATATATAAATAAATTAATAACTTTTGTTTTTTTATTTGATTTAGTTTTAAAATTTATATATTTTACAAATAAAATAATTTATATGTAATAATTAATAATAGTAATTATTTTAAATTTACAAAAATAAAAATATAATTTAATAAATTAAATATATTAAAAATAATTAATAAATACTGGTATAAAAATATATTTATATGTATAAAATAAATAATTATGTTTTAAGTGTAAATAAGGAATAACCAAAATTAAAATAGAAAAATTCTTTCAAAACGCTGGGTAAATGAGCTTTTCAGAAATTAACTTTTTAGGTCCAAAAAGCTCTTTCAGAAAGTTAATTTACCAAACACTTAAATTAGCTTTTTGACTGATAAAATTCAATAACCTAAAAGCTCTTCAAAAAGTTGTTAGAGTCTTTTATCAGGGATACGGTATTTTAGATAGTGTAGGTCACTAATTTATTAATAATAAGTTAAGATAATATTTTAATATTTTTTATATGCGTAGTATTGTTGGTATTTTAAATATTTTTATAATTATATCTCAATAAAATATATAATATATGCAATATGCATATCATTTTGTAGACAATAAAAATTATATAATGCAAATGAATAGAAAAAAGTATTTATTTATTTATCATTATCATAAATTAGTTTTATAAAAAATGAGGAGTTTTAAAGGTAGATAAAAATATTTGTTAATTGACGAGAGATATAGAAATAACGGGATTTTTGTGGATCCTACGTGTAAGATGATAGAAGTTTAATTAAATTTATATTTGTTAAGTATGTTTAAGATTGATAAATTTACCAAAAATGGAAAGACGTATCTTTTGTGGGACGTACCAAAAAGAAAATGAGGTCATTTATGACAGAACGGAAGGAGTAATAATAATAATAAATAGTGATATGCCAAATTTAAATACTCCCTCTGTCTCATATCTATATATTCATTTGCTTTTTGCACGGAGTTTTAGAATTATTAGTATTATATTGGGATAAAGTAGAAATAAAGGTAAAAAAACTAAATTAACCATATTAGTATTGTATGATATAAAAGTAATGACATTTGTGTAATATATTGTAAATTAGAAGAGTATTTGTAATGTTAGGTAAATTGTACAATTACTAAAAAAGAAAATGAATACTTTGTTATGTGACAGACAAAAATGGAAAAATGGATAGATTGTTAAAGGACGGAGGGAGTATTATTTTTATCATTTTTCTGTCATATTTCAAAGTATTTCGTTTTTGTTTTAGCAAACTTAATACTCTCTCATTCTGATAAAAAGAATTTCATTTTCCATTTTCGTATGTCCCAAAACAAGAATACAATTTCCTAATTTAGTAATTGTACTGTCTAACTAATATAATAAATATCTTTTAAACTTACAGTATATTACACAAATGTCACAATATATATATTACACAATACTAATAAGGGTATTTTTCGTCTTTTTTACTACAACCCAACATAATACGTATATTAAAAAAACTATGTAAAAAAACGAATGTTACTCTTTATATGGGACAGACGAAGTATTACACTAATACCAAAATATTCGTAACTTTTATCTAAATTACAAATATGAAAAAAAAAAATCAATTTTGGTCTCAATTACACAATTATTTTTTATTTTTGTATATTATAATAGTATTAAAAATTAATTTATTATTTCAATACAATTATATATGTTTATGTTGAAATGGTTTGAAATTATATTGAAATGTATAATTAATTATTAATACTACTATAATATACAAAAATAAAAAAAAAAATTGTGTAATTGAATGTTTTTAAGAGAAATATTTTTGGTAAATAGTAGAATTTGTTTTTTTTTTATTTCAATCATATCAACTATTATAAATTCAAAATATTATTTTTTAAAAAAAAAATTATAACAAAACTATCCTAAATTAAAAATATTTTTTTCAATAAAAAATATAACAAAAAATTAAAATTTTCAGACCAAAACAAAAAGGTACACGATCATATAGAATTATACATCGTCGTGTAATAACATGACCATATATATTTATACACTGAAAAATACATGGCTGTGTATAATTGTACACGGCCGTTTAGTTTCTAGGTCAGCTGTCACGTTACATCCGTTATGTCCACGTCAGTAATTTCCGTTAATTTTTTAACGGTGGGACCAAAATTGATTGAAATTATTTATAATTAGACTAAATTTGATGAGTTTTCTATATTGTGACCAAAATTGAGAAATTTTATTTATATTTGGAGTAAATTGATTTTTTTCCTTACAAATATATCATTATATATATAATTACTTTACCTAAACCCTAAAACTTCTTACACATTTTCACCAATCAATAAAATATTAATATTTTTTAATCTACTACTAAATATCAAATGGTCCATTATACTCATATAAAATATATTTGATAAATACAAATCAACTTAATTAATTACCATTATATATAATTACTTTTTTTTAAAATTTGTTCCAACTTAATTGACATATTTTTAGTTTTAGTAAATTATATTCAAATTAAGATATATTTAATTTTGTCAAGTTTTTCAAATTTTACTATTTTGACTCTATTTCTTTCGAATTTTTTTTTCTTACAAAATATCATGTCAAATATTATTTTAATATCAAATTCAAATCAAATATTATTCCAAACTCAACCTAAAGAATCACATGCTATATCTTCTTAATAATCAAATCCTTTTTATATATATTTACAAAAATTTAATTTTTTATAAAATTAATTTATATTAATTATGAATAAATATATGCTCTTATTTATTTTTATTATATAAAATTTTATTATTTAAATGATATTCATGTTGCATATAGTTTTTAAAATATTTTAACACATGTTTTAAATTTTTTTTAATTATATTTTCTCCGTTATAACTTAAAGTATATACTATTTGTTCTTTTTTTTAATAGATTAAAAAATAATAGTAGTGTTTTATTGATTAATAAAAATATGTAAAATGGTCTTGACATTTTTGCCTTTGCAGTACAAATTAAAAAATATATATATTTTTATAAAAATTAGAAGTATTTGATATATATATATATATAAATTATTTTAACTCTAATAAAAAATAAATATCTTTGAATTAAACAAATAAAAATAGTAAAAGAAATACATTGAGTTTAGACAGAAAGAATATATATTACTTAATATTTTAAAAATACTAATAATATCATTCACATAAAAAAAAATAATACTATAATATATTATCATTAACTTAATAATTTTATTACATTAAATACCATATTCCTTTATTATTCAAATTTATGTTATTTATTTATTTTCATAAAAATACTATATAATATTTATTTATTTATTTATTTATTTTTTAAATAAAAAATACTACTATATTTTCTACTTTTTCTTCACAATAAAAGTGAAAAGAAATTATTTTACACAATTTTTTTAAAAATTTGTGTTTGATATAATAAACATAAATCTTGAAAACGGAAATAGTAATATTTAACCTTCAAATGCGTAGTTTGAAATAGAATGGAGGAATTATATCATACTCCCTCGGTGCAAATATATACGTAGTTTTAGAAATATTAGTATTATATTGGGATATAGTAGAAATAAAGTATAAATGACTAAAATAACCTTGTTAGTATGTGTGATATAAAGGTAATGATATTTGTGTAATATATTGTAAGTTGTAAGGATATTTGTAATGTTAGGTAGATAGTACAGTTACTAAAAAAAGGAAATTGATACTTTGTTATGGGACGGACTAAAATGAAAAAATGGATATTTTGTTATGGGGTGGAGGGAGTATATATATTCAAATTTTTGGACACAAATTCTTATATAATAGAGTCTCTCGGTTCCATATCTATCTATCAATATACAAAAACTTTTTGTATAGAGTTTTAGAAATATTAGTAATATATTAGAATATAGTATAAATAAAGGTAAAAAGGCTAAACTATTCTTATTAATATTATATGATATAAAAGTAATGATATTTGTGGAATATATTGTAAATTGAAAGGATATTTGTAATATTAGGTAGATAATACCGTTACAAAAAATAATACATACTTTGTTATGAGACATAGCAAAATGAAAAAAATGAATAGTTTGTTAAGAGACGGAATAAGTATATTTTTATTATTTATAATAATCCCTCCGTCTCATTGAAAGGTTGTCATTTTCTATTTTCGTCCGTTCCAAAACAATGTTATCATTTCCTAATTTAGTAGTTGTACCACCTACCTAACATAATAAATATCCTTTCAACTTACACTATATTACACAAATGTCATTACTTTTATATTACACAATAGTAGTAGGGATATTTTTGTATTTTTCACTACAATATAATATAATACTATTAATATTAAAAAATTTACATGCAAAAAATTAAGTGATAATCTCTCTACGAGACGGAGGGTGTAGAACAAATACGAAAAAAAAAAATGTTATTTTGGCAGGGGTTTTCTTAGATTTTATTATTCATTAATTTTTTTAAAATATCACATTAATATTTATTTATATTACTATATCCTATAACTATTTAAATTCAAATTTTTTATTTTTCAAATATCAACTTAAAATCCAAATATCCAAATATAGACTTTGTTTACACAACACACTTTCACTAATTTGACACTATTCATTTAAAAAAAAAATATCACACAAATACATTTTTTTTCTCATAAAACATCAAATCAAATACTAACTTTTTATTTTTTTTCCAAACTTTCAAAATAGCAGCCAATAGGGGTGTGTTTGTTCGTGGGTTTTACTTTTTGGGTTTGGATTTTGAATAGGAAAAAATTAAATATGAATAATTGTTTGATGTAATATAAATAGAAGTTGATGCGATGTTTGAATGTAAAATAAATTAATAGTGTAATATAAAAAAAATTATTTAATGAGATATTTTAAAAAATATACTATATAAATAATAAAAATCATTAAAAAATGTATTAGTAAAAATAATTATTATTTAATAAAAATAATTATAGATTAAGATTAAGACAAATAAATAGTTTAATTAAAGTTAAAAAAATTATAAAATTTAAAATTTAAAATATGATTAAAGTGCATAATTATATTTTCAAAAATAGAAAAGATAAGTTATGTGAGATGAACGAAAATAAAAAATAGAAACAAATAATGTGGGACGGACGGGATTAGTTTTTACTAAATTTAAGTGACAAAAATTATTTAAAATATAACTAAACACAAATTTATTAAACTATATGTAGGCAGCAGCATTGAAATCGTCTTCTTCCCCAAGCCCCCACCCACCCCTATTTTTCAAACTTTAATTTCCTCTCTCATCTAACAAAAGAACCCCACTCTCTCTCTCCTCTCCATCCACAACTAATCAAGAATCTCTGCAATATTTCACCGGAGTAACATGTCGTCGATTCTTGGCAGCGGCAGCGGCAGCGGCGGCGGCGGCGACGGCGGCGGAGCGGCGACTTTCCACGAATTCAAAAAACAGGCTTCTTTCTTCCTCAAGGAGAAAATCAAGACCGCCCGATTAGCCCTGACTGACGTCACCCCAGCCCAACTGTACGTCTCCGATCGATCTGCAATTTCTGTTCACTTTATTTATTTATTTTTATTTTTTTTAAAAAATGAATATGTTTTTGTTCAAGATTGGCTGAAGAAGCGACGAATGGGAATATTCCTCCCGACGCAAGAACTCTGAAGATGATTTCGAAGGCAGCTTTTGAAGTGGATGATTACTGGAGGATCGTCGACATCCTCCACAAAAGGTCGATCAATAACTTAATTATTAATTATTTTAATATTAATTTTTAAATATTAATTATATCATCAAAATATAATACAAATTTAAAAAAAATATTACAAAAATATTTTTATTAATGTCTCGTAATACTAATAGAATAGAATATGACATTTGTAAAATAAAAATAATTTTAATATTAAATATAATAACAAATAAGTAAATTGTGACATGTGACCTTAATTTGGAGTATTAATTAACGGTAATAATTTGAGTCGATCTAATTAATGAATTAATTGATTGATTGTCTGCAGGTTAGTGAAATTCGATAGTAGAAATTGGCGGCCGCCGTACACGGCGGTGGTAGTGGTGGAGCATTTGGTGACACACGGGCCGGAGAGGGCGGCGGAGGAGTTCCGATCGGACAGCGGTGTTATTGCCGAGATGCTGACTTTCCACCACCTCGACGACAAAGGGTACTCTAATTTCTTTTGCTTTATCTCATCTTATGACCTTGATTGTCCCAATTTGTTGTTATTAATAGTTATAAGAATTATTTTAATTATATGATTTTTTTTGTCGATTACATTTTAATTTTTAAAAATTTGGTTATTTCATATTCCGACTAATTTGTCCTATTTAGGACGGACACGGAATTTTAGATATTACGTAATTAATGAGTCATTAAAATTAAAATTTAATAAAAAATAATTTTAGATTAAGATTAAATAATTAAATAGTTTAATGAAAATAAAAAAAATTATAAATTATGAATTTTAAAATGTGATTGAAGTGTATAATTGTATTTTAAAAAATAAAGTGAAAAATAATGTGAAACTGACGGAAATAGAAATAGTTTGACAAATTAAGTGGGACGGAGGAAGTATCATTTTCGTTCATCTGCAAGGTTATATTATATTTTGTATCATTGCATTTAATATTAAAAATATTTTTATATTTAATAGAAGTATTTTTATCATTTCTTCTTATTTGTATTTTGGTATAATAATTAATATTTCAAGATCAACACGCAAAAGAGGAAATATAACTCTTGGTTTTAGCTATTTTAATTAATTCAAAACTCTCGTTTTTTAGCTTTTGATTCACTGCATACGAGCGAAAATTTTCACACATTTTTTTTTTTTTTTCATATATTCCTCCGAAGATTCTTTTGCTATATTACAAAAATAGCAATATTTGATTGGTCGTACCATCGACCAATTTTTGAACTTTCAGTAAATAATAAAAATTAGATTATTTGATGATCTAATGTCCTTAAATAAAAAAAAAAAAAATTATTACTAAAATAGAAATATTAGTATTAGATTGAAATATAGTAAGAATAAAGTGTAAATTACTAGGAATAGAGGAAGTACTTATAATATCAAAACAATTTCAAAAATATATAATCAATTTTAAGATATATCTCTATAATTTGCAGATTTGATTGGGGATTGAGTGTTCGGAACAAATCCCAAAGAGTACTGAAGCTTCTAGAAAAAGGTTCTTTTCTAAAAGAAGAAAGAGATAAAGCCAGGAGGATATCGCGCGGCATTAAGGGCTTTGGAAGCTTTAGCCACCGCGGCGGCGGCGGCCGGGACCCACCCGAGCCGCCAGTCGCCCGGTGCAAATCAGCCGTCGACGGCAGCTCAGAAGATTTCTTTTCAATAAAAAACGAATGTATCGTGGCTAGTAATGGCCCCCTTAACCTCGTCGATAAGGACTTAAAAATTCGAGTAAATTCCAAAGAGAACTTTGCTCCAAACGACGAAATTGTTGCCAATGCAGCAGCAGGGCAAGATGTGTCCGGAAAGACGGGAGATCAACATCCCTTTGATGATGCCGAGGTTCTGACAGCTACGCCGCTGCTCTCTACGGCGCGCTGATCGTGATTTGTCTTAAAAACACGTGTTTGGATTGCCGGTCGAACACACATTATGTTAACTTGAGTGTTAGCGCAGTTTCGCTGTTCGAATAAAACAGTAGCAATGTGTTCTTACATGATTTAGGCCGCGGTTTCTTCCTTAAACTCTTGTTTCGTGTTCTTGATTACAGCTTGGTTGTTATTATTTAGACTCTCGGAAACTTAATTTCTATCGGTCTTTAAGGATGATTGTCCTAAAATTGGAAGAATAGGTTGGCTTGGCTTCAAGGATTTGAGAAAGGTTTTTGAACACTTAAAATTTACTTTTTTATTGTTTAGAATCTACGTTTTTTTAGATAAAAGTATATTTTTTTATCTTACAAAACATCTCAATCATATACTTCATTTTTGTCCAGTTATAAAGTATACATATTTATATTTTCGGATGTCCAAAGTAAACATTTCATTAAATACCCCACTTTTTTTTTACATATACCCTTATTTTACATCACATTATTACTTTTATACCAAAAAGTAAGGGCAAAAATGTCGTTACACTATTTTTACCTATCCACTATAATTAAAATACTATTATTTCTTAAACTCCGCGTCTGGATGGAAGAAGTATTATTTTAATATCAAATCTAAATAAAATTTTTTCAAACTTTATCAAACCAACTCCAACCCGTTGCATTTGTGCAATGGGTTGGGCAAAAAATGGGGGGCTCCAACAGCCTATTTGTTTCAAATTACTTGTCACGTCAGTTTATTCCGTTGAAATTTTAATGGTGGACTGAAAATGATAATTTATTTTTTTGTATATGATTAATTTTAATATTTTTTTTTTTCTAATGAGACAAAAAAAAAAAAAATTTTAATTTGGACTAAATTTTTACTCTAATAAAATATTACGTCCTTCGGTTTTAATTCAAATCGTCTTTGTGAAGGAGTGTAACATTTTTATCCTTTAAAATTATTTGTACGGTACAAAGTAATTGAAGTAATTGAACACTTGGGGTGTGTTTGTTTGGTAGTTTGGATTTTGAATTGAGATTTGAATAGTAAAAATTTTGAATTTGAATAGTTGTATGATATGATATAAATAAGTATTGATGCGATGTTTCGAATGTAAAATTGATTTTTATTTGATGTGGGGGGAAAAAATTGGATGAATAGTATAAGTCTAATCCAATCCCCCAAACAAACACACCCTTGATATATTTTTAATTTAAATAAAAATAAAAAATATTTTGATATTACTATATATATACATTTTATAAAATAAAAAATAAATAATTTTAAATAAAAAAATAAAAATAATAGTTTAAATTGAAAAAATATATATATATATATATATATATTAATTGGCAAAAGCAGATGTAACTATTGTCGTCGAAAGGAGGAATTATAATTTAAAAATAAAAATAAAAATAATTAGGGTTTGCTTTTGGTGCTATATAGCCATGGACAGCGCCGTCGCCATTTCCCTTCCCTTGCGCCAGCCTCTCACAGCCTCAAGCTTCCTCTTCAGGTACGGTGTTCTTCCAACCAATTTGTAATTCTTCATCTACGTGCCTGCGTGCTTCTGAACGAGTAACTACATACTCCAGCAAATCAGATGTTATGTGCTGAATGTTTATCGTCTTTGGTAAACGGGTGTTTGGTTCCAGTAAATTGCGAGCTTTTGATGCTATTACCCTCGATTTGCTTAGATTCGGGTTTTTGTAATTTGACATTTAAGTTATTTAATTCACACTTTCTCTATTATGATGTTACTGATGTGTAAACTGCCAATAGTCTTATTGCACAACTTTTAATTGGATTGTGGCGGAGCAAGGTATTGAGTTTGATTGCATATTTTTGTTGATGATTCAGTGGAATTTTGCACTGTGAATTATCTGAGATAAAAGTCAGACAAGATGCAGAACGAAGAGGGGCAAAACATGGATCTCTACATCCCCAGGAAGTGGTGAGATATCGTTTCTTCATTCTGCTAATGCTGCATATTGTTCTCTTGTTCGATTAAGATGTATCAATTGTTTATGGTTGAGAACCTGAGAATTTAATTGATCCGACTTTTTTCATATGATGCAGCTCTGCTACAAACAGGCTGATCACCTCCAAGGACCATGCTTCTGTCCAAATTAATTTTGGGCATTTAGATGAGAGTGGTCGATATACGGGCCAATTCTCTACCTTTGCTCTCTGTGGATTTATTCGTGCACAGGTATTTGCATTTTTGCCCCCTTTTAAACTTTGTTTTCTTCTTTTATATTTTGCTAGGGTAATTTATCATTTTTCCAAGTTCATATTGTCAATTTGCAGTAGTTTTGTTGAAATACAAGTAATTGGATGCTGATAATGCCTAATGCTAGCTGAATTTTTGGTGTTGATGAATTTTTATTTGAGTCGTCTTCATTAGATGAATATACATATTATGAACCTTGAACTCAGCTGTTTATTTCACTCTTTGTTGATGTAGCTATAAAGTTATATATCAGAAAGAAAAAAGGTGTTTACTTTTAGCTTGATTGGGAAGGTTTATTTAAAATGTGTTACAAACCCGTGCAGCTTATAAGATGTCTTAAGAGCTTGTAATGTGTGATCTTATTCTTCAATTGAACTAATGGCGAGAGCTAGTGAAGCATTTTTTAGATGGTAAACTACTTGATAATATGAGCACTTACCGCGATCATATCAGTTTTTAAAATAGACATGATGACACTATTAAAACTGTGAATAATTATTAACAAATACTACTATTTAATTTGAAGTTTCTAAAATATTCTCTAGAATATTCATATGGAGCTTATGTGCTCTGGAGGGAAAAAATAAGTAAAAGAAAAATTAAGAGGGATTTATTTGTTATTATGAGCTTCTAAGCTCCAAAAATCTCAATCTTTTCTACTGTACTAGTTTTTCAATCTTTTTTTGTCTGGTGTTTTTGTGATATTGAAAGTTCAAGAGACATTTAGGCCCTGTTTGGAAGATTTTAATTTGAAGGCATAATTTTTAGTGGATGGGTTTGAAATACTTATTTGAAATACATTGGAATTTAAATATTTTGTTTGTTATTATGAAGTATTCGAAATAACTTAGCATTAAAGAGTATTTAAAATGTAAAAAGAGGATAAAACTGAAATCACAATTTGACTTTGTAGATTTGGACTTCATTTTGTTGCCAAATAAAACAAATGGATTTGAGGGAGTTATTTGAAATCATTATAGTCCAAATTCATTCCAACCAAACCGTTCTCTAAAGTTGGACATCTTCTCATAATGCCCATGCCTTGTAATCATTTACTGCGATATATGAGAATTTTAAGCGATCTGCCTGCTTCATATAATCTCCTCCTCTAGTGCGGTTTCTTACATCGAATGTGGAAATTTCGATTCTTTTGATGGCAGGGTGATGCTGACAGTGCCCTTGATAGACTCTGGCAGAAAAAGAAAGTCGAAACCAAGCAGCAGTGATTAGTAAAAACTATATTCGATTACCCCTTTTCACTTCTCTTCCGAGTTGTTATTTTTGGTCGTATTTTTTTTGGAAGAACAATGTTTGTGCTATGGTAGTCATGTGACTTCAATCAAACATATGGAACTCAAAACTTATCTCTCTATGTTTCCTAATTATTAAATATCGTATTTGTGAAATAATGTTATTAGTATTATCTAATTCTTTTTCGCCCTTGCTAAAATTTCGAACTAGTTAGACATCCTTTGCTGAGTAGAATTTGGCCATTTTTAAGATGAAGTAGAAAAGCTGAGTTCCATTTGTAACTAAAATATCTGCTCTCTGTGATCTACAAAATTTTAATTTACATAGCCACCATCCTCGTCAAAAGTCACAAAATTTATTTGAACCCACAGCTTGCAAATTAGATGATACATGTGGTGATGTGATAATTAAGTTTATTTATTTATCTTTTTTTTTTTTTTGGGGGGGGGGGGGGGGGGTCGGTGGGGGCTGGCTGCATTCAGTCACTCGTGACCCTTCTCTATCAAGCATTTAAAAATAGTGTTTTCATCTCATACGTATGGCCAAAATGCTTAGAAGTGTAGAAATTTCTGATATTTGTAGTCTAGTGTTGTGTTAAACCACCACAAAACATTTACATTCAAATAAATATCCCTCCGTCCGCAAAAATTAGTATATTTGGGTCCAACACGAAAATTTTAAAAAAAAATAATGAAGAGAGAATATAATAAAAGTTATATTTCTGTAAATAAGCGTTGAAGGAAGAATAATAGTTAAATGTTAGATTTGTTAACTTTGTCAAGATTAGTAACATGTGAAAACCTGAATTCGCATAACACATTGCAAAACTTGTCATTTTTTTTAAAGAGCTCATAAATTCAAAAGTAGGAAATTCTATTTAACTGTAATTGCAAGGAAGATTACTGCAAAAAGCAGACAGCCTTTGTCTCTTGCTTCCTCCGTCTCACGTACCATGTTCACGTTGCTATTTCTGTCCGTTCCACATTTTATGTCATTTTTTTTTTCGAAAATAATTATACACTTTAATCTCATTTTAAACTTTTTAATTTTTTTTAAATTTTAATTAAAATAATTAGTTATCTTAATCTTAATTTATAATTATTTATATTATAGAATAATTATTTTTACTAATACATTCTTAATTATCTACTAATTACACTCCTTCAAAAATATCTTAAAATAGCGAGTCTCCAGTGTAGCAGACACAAGGACGGAGGTAGTAAATTTACGTGACACCACACCATACCCATCCCAATCATTTCTTACTATTATTTTGAACTCAAATTTTATTGAATTAGTTAACTAACTAACTAACTAGATGGCCATTGTACAATTGAATTGAGGTGAATGATAGTGTACTTTATATGAGATTCAAAGACTATTAGGAAAAAAAAAAAATGTGATAAAAATATTGAATAGCTTTGGATCCTTCACCAAAATTTAATGAGAATGACCAATTAGGATAGACATTTTCATATGGAGGGGCACATGTTTGACAATTTTCTAACAAAGGAAGAAGACTTGTCACATTGCCAACACTAAAAACATTTTGTGTTTGTTAGTTCTTTAAAACAAAAACAAAAAAATATTCAAAATTCAAATTTTAAAATTTAAATCTTGTCAATGCTACTTTTCAAACAACATCAGAATTATGACTCTGTTTATGTAAAATCAAATGACATGAATGGAATTCGTTTCCTCTATCTCTAAATACATAGATACATTATATTATGAGGTTAAAAAAAATGCCTAGAATTCAATGAACTGAATTATTATATCTCCGGCTTGACGAACATAAAAAAAAAAAAAAATGGTGGAAGGGAAAGGGCTATATATGTAAGAAGAAACAAGAACAGGAGATGAGAAGAGCAATAGTACTAATTGATGAAGACCCTTTGTGTTTCTTGCAATATTGGAGAAGAATCCAATGGAAGTACTTTAAACAAGGAGGGTGGGGGTGGGGGTGGGGGTGGGAGGGGGGCATCCTTGTGATCTTCTTTAATGGTGGAGGAATCTTGAACTTGAAGATTGACCCCATCAATTACCCTTTTCTTCTGAGCTTCCACCATCAACAACCTCTTGATCAATTTCTCCTCAGCATCTCTCAAGAACTTGAACTTTGGAGGGGGTGAGGATCTCAGCCTGTTGATCTCAGCCTCAGACATGGCTGATGATGACAATGATGATGACAATGATGATGATGATGATGATGATGATGATTCAAAGAGTGGATTGAATGAGCCATGACTGCCATGGCTGTAGCAGTCCAAGAATGGAGCCTTGACTGTGGGAGATGGCAGAGGAGTGAGAAAAGGTGTCCCATTATCATCTTCATCTTCATCTTCATTAACACCAAAAACCAGGTCACTCAAGCTCCTGCTGGTTCTTGACCCTTTTCTTGATCTGTTATTGTTTCCATCTTCAGAATCCAAATCTTCCTTGTTTTCCTCCTTGATTGTGAAGAGGAATCTTGGAGGTCCTCTCAAATTGTGCAATCTCATCAATTCAGTGTCCATTGACCCTTCTTCTTCATGCCCTAACCCTAACCCTAATCCCAAACCCCCTTTCGAGCCCTCCATTTCCATCTTCATCATTTCTTTGTTTCTCCTTCTTCCCATCTCCAAATCCTCCTGTGGAGCTGTTCCTGTGTCTCCTGTTAGCTCCATGCTGCTGCTGGCACTGTTGAATGAGCTCTGAGTCTGAGGCCTTTTCCAGCAGAGGAAAAATGATAGATCCTCCATGGCCCTGCTACTGCTACTGTAAGCAACTCTCTTCTTCCACCATAGCAGATAGTAAAGCTCTGCAACTAGCCCCATCAAGATGCATCCAAACAGAAAGCTTAAACCTATCCCTAATCCACTAAAAGATCCCATCTTTTCTTTGGCTTTTCAATCCTTCTTTTTCGAGATTCTCTCACATCTGGATCTGATTTGATTGAATTGAAATTGTAATTGAAATTGGAAGAAAAAATTCAAGATATTTTGAGTTCTTTTCTTTTCTTTTCTTTTTGATGTTTTTGCTTCTTCTACAGTGCTATCAGCCATGGCCCATCTCTATCTAATCTCCCCTTGAAATCCTGCGGCAAATTTCCCCCCAAACTCTTCACATTCTTACCACAAAACCACTACAGACTCACTCACACCCCACCCCACTCCACCCCACCCCCACCCTTTCAATAATACTAATAAAATATTTTGTAACAAAAAGGAGAGAGAATAAGAAGAAGAAGAAGGGGAAAAGTTAAAAGAATAGCCTGAGAGAAACGCTGGAAATGAAAGATTCCTATATTCTCCTGAGCTGTTTTTCAATGGCGGATTGAAGAAAGGAAGAAGTGAATTTTAATTTTAATTTTTTTTTTTTTTATGGGAATATATGTGAAAGGCAGGCAGGCAAGCATTTATGAGATTTGGCAAATTTTGTTTTACAGACGTACTGCTGGCAGCCAAAGTGACGACGACGAGGAGGGAGGGGTGACGTGTAAGTAATGTGTGTGTATGTATATATATATATGTATATCAGTATATGTAATGTGTGGGTGGAGGGAGGAAGAGGGGTTACGTCACATCACACTCACATGGGTTGCCCTAAACAGAACATATCAAAACAGAACAATGTATGTAATCATCGCCTAACTCAAACTAAGAACAATTACATTATTCTCTACCTTTTAAGAACTGCATTACAAATGATTATATATTAAAATTAAAATGATTAAATAATTTAATAAAAAAAATAAAATTATAGATTATAAATTTTAAAATAAAATTAAATATATAATAATATTTTTAAAGAAATAGACAAAAGAATAAACGAATTAAGTGTGACGTAAGAAATATTGTTATTATTATTAACTAAACAAATTGTTGATGTAATATTTCAACAAAAATAAAGTAAAATTCAAAGATATAGAAAATATCCTTAAACTTGATTAATTAGTGCCTGAGATTAGGAATCTCTAAACACTGTATGGTACAGAAAATAAACTGGAAAATAAAAGACTGAAATTTAAAGTGGTGATCCCCAAATTTGACTTTGCTTTGTTGAAGTTGATTGAAGATGCCTTGTCAAATGATTATCCAAGCCTTTAAATATTCTCTGGAAACCGTACCGAAAACCGTCACCCGAACGGTTACAACGACTCCTTCCCAACCGTCTTCCAACCCTTCTCATGCTGACACGCGTCCCCAGCAGACCAGAATTATCCCTATATTTCACTCTTTGAGCCGACCACAGACCTTCCGCTCTTTTGGCCCGACTGCCAATCTACAATAGTATGGGTCCGACCGCCAATCCTCCCGACTTGCAAACCATCTGACTTGTTGGTTCTGCCGCAGCATTCCGACCTGAGAACTTCCCGACCTGAGGGCCTTCCGACTTGAGGACCTCCCGACCTGAAAACCTTCCGACTTGAGGTCTTTCCGTCTTGAGGACCTCCCGACCTGAAAACCTTCCGACTTGAGGTCTTTCCGCCTTGAGGACTTCCCGACCTGAAAACCTTCCGACTTGAGGTCTTTCCGCCTTGAGGTCTTCCCGACCTGAAAACCTTCCGACTTGAGGTCCTTCCGTCTTGAGGACCTACCGACCTGAGGTCCTTCCGTCCTAATGACTTTCCGTCTTGAGGACCTACCGACCTGAAGACCTTCCGACCTGAGGTCCTTCCGTCTTGAGGACCTACCGACCTGAGGTCCTTCCGTCCTAATGACTTTCCGTCTTGAGGACCTACCGACCTGAAGACCTTCCGACCTGAGGTCTTTCCGCCTTGAGGACCTACCGACCTGAGGTCCTTCCGTCCTAATGACTTTCCGTCTTGAGGACCTACCGACCTGAAGACCTTCCGACCTGAGGTCCTTCCGTCTTGAGGACCTACCGACCTGAGGTCCTTCCGACCTGAGGACTTTCCTTAGTAATAAACCTATTTCCCTTGATTTCCTCATGGTACCCTTCAGTCAGTTCAATCAACTCTATTGCCAGGCCCATTCTTCTTTTTACCTTGGGCTTTTAACCTAATTCTAAATTTCGTACGTAACAACTTGCCCGCCGCCAAGGGACTTTCAAACGCCATTTAACAATCAATGTTTGGAAGTTCATAAATCACCACCCTCTTGAAAAACTCCCTTAGCAACTGCACCAGTTACTGCAACACTCCTGATTAACTTCCTTCTCCGCAATACAAGCTTTTGTGAATCACAATCCCAAAACACTCTAACCATGGCGAAATTATATTCATGGCGCGCCAGTTCGGCTGTTGCCAAGGTATCCCTAGACCCGTCGCGTGTCCGCATATAATTTTTCAAAGCCCTGACCGACGAGTCCTACCGAATTCAATCCCTTCTTATATCTCCCAACTCACCACGTATATAATTTCCAATTCGTATATTCCTTTCCGCTCCAACCCTGAGACTGTAGATACTTTCAATGAATGGTGGTCGGTTGTATGGCCCCTGATTTCCCCTGATGAGGGTCGGTTGCTGAACATACTCCTTCCACCCCAAGGATTGGTTCTAGGGGCGGCTAGACACACTAGCACCCAGCCACAAACAGCCGCCCCGGGGACCGGATCTAGTGTTCCAAAACGAAAAAGGAAAGCTTCCCAGCTGCAAACACCCCCGACCTCTGGGGCCGACCAGCAAGCTCAAGCGGACCTTGGAACTACTAGGACGTCAGCAAGGGCCCGACCCCGACTAGGTAATTTTTCTTAAAACCGTGAACCAATTCACTATATCTTAACCTTGATTTCACATATCATTCACCAGAACCGACCTTGGCAGCACCGACCACACAACCGACGCCAAACCCAGCCGACCAACCTTTGGTCCCGACTGAGGCAGTTCCTCTCCAAACCCCTACTCCACTTCTCACTTTGCCAATGAGCAGTCGGACGGAGGACCCGACGAGGAGGCAAACTCTTCCTCCCGTACCGAGGAGTGGTCGGGCCAGGCACCCGACCAGGAGGCAATCTTTACAAGAACTGCCTATAGAACCAGTAAGTCCTCTTATCAGCAATACTTAGGATTTTAATGACCAACCTTGATATATTCAATCAACAACATTTCCATGATTTTTCACAGACACCTTCACCCATCGGATCAGCAGCAGGGGTCTCTTCTGACAGCGAAGGAACTACTTCCCAGATGGGTCGACCGCCATACATAGCATCAGACTCATCCATGTCAAAGGAAGAACCAGCCGCCCTCGCCGAAGCTGACCCTCAAAACGACATCCCTGATGCTGCTGATCTCGAAATCGAAGGTGCCCCAGAGATCCCGGCTGCAGCGGCACTAGACGCAGCCGCCCAACCAGCAGCGGCGCTACCTCCAGCAATCGAATGGCAGGCAGAAGAACCACCTGTGGCAGCCCAACATCCAGAAATGGAAGAAGTTTCCTCATCCTTTTCGGAGACTTCTGTAAATTTGGTAAGATTACACCAATCCATGCCACAATGTTTCCCTCAGAAAACACTAACTGTTTTATATACCACGTTCCATAGGGACCCAGGTCGGCACCTCAGCGACCATTCGCAGCAGCCGACGAGTCGGCTGCTATTATACCAGCTGTCTGCCCTACTCGACCGACCTCATTGCTGCCCCCCTCACTGACAGCAGTCCGCCCAGAGGTAACACATATCTTATCTGAACCAAGTTGCACCTCCTTTGGAATACTTATTGACATTGTAGGACTTGCAGGGGCCTTCGGACTTAGCTGTCCTATCGACTGTTCCGGTTCCGGCGGAGGCCCGAACCATATTCACTGAGGCCATTAACCATCCCCTGTCAGAATTGAGATCCGACTTATTGGACAAACTCATTCAGACGGTTGGTGGCCTTCTTTTTTACACTCCAACGGAATCGCCAGCCGTCCCCATTCTGCATCGGCTGATGGAAAGACTTACAGAGCTCAAGACTGAAGTGCTAGTCATTGGACTCCTGTCAGCCGAAACCCCCCAGCCCGACTTCGATCAAACAACGCTGGAGAATTCTTTGGCTAAGACCCGAGAATCCCTTCAGCAGACTACTGGAAGGCTGGGTGGTCTCCTTAGCACGAAAGCTCAAGTTGATGAAGCTATTCAGAAAAAGGAGGCAGAATTGCGGGAGCTGAGGAAAGAACAGTCTACCCTGGATAAGCAAATTACCAATGAACAGCGTCTGCTTGAGAAGTATACCAAAAATGAGGCTGAATTGGATCAAGAGCTAAAAACCCAAGCCCGATCCCAATTCATCATAAGATATCAGACGGCTGCCAATACCAGAAGGCTATCCAGGGATGAAATCAAATGGACCCATATAAAAACTGCCCTAGGGGCATTGTTGTAATATTTCCCCCTCTGTAACAACGTTTGACTTAGTAATCCATTTTTTCTTTCGTCTCTCAAAACAAGGATCACCTTTCAATTTCCAACGTTGTAGGAATAGAAACAAACTCCTTCTTTAAAAGAACATTGTTTCTCACATTTTAAGAAACACATTCCAAGGCATATTTTGAAAATCACAACACTTGAAGTGTTAACAAACATGGCGAATGACCGACCTTATGTTCCATCAAACAACTGGCAGGGTGTTCTTCAACCCTTCTTTGTGGGTAATCACCCTATTGGAGGCCATGCAGAAGACTTGTTACATATACTCAAGCAACTAGACTTCAAATTCCGATTCTCCCAACGAGGAAGACGAACCATTCATCGCGTCATCCGCCTGATGGAAAAAGTCATTGAGGGGTATGAACCTCTTCATGACATCCTTAGCCGCATTCCTGATCTCCATCACCACATGGAAATGATAGAAAATCACGCAGCAACTATACTTCCAGATCTTGGTTGGGATAACATCTTTTCCAATCAACGAAAAGTCTTCTCAAGATTACGGACCATTGTTGATCGTGAACATCAAGCCATAACAGACATGCAAGCGCGTACCCATCAAGATTTAGATGAAATGCAAAGCCAATGGGAAAGGTACCGACCAGATTTGGAAGACCTTATTGAAGAAGAACCAGAACTAATATCCACTCACTGGGATGAAAAGTCTGATTCAGAGGCAGAAAATTTCTCACAACTACACGATGACTAACAGAAATGAACCTTCCAGTAGGTTCGAACCCCATAAACGGGTTCTGAATAATATTTTGTTTCAGGCATTTTTGTTATCTGAAAAGGCAGGATAATACCTCTTCAGATATTTAGCATTAATACAATCATGTACTCTTCTACCTTCGTGATTTACAATAATGAACGCGCCATTTCCAATATCTTTTTGAACAATGTATGGTCCTTCCCAATTCGGTGACCACTTTCCCAATTGATCAGTTTTCTTATATGTAGGAAGAATGGTCTTCCAGACTAGGTCTCCTTTTTGGAATGTCCTGTGAAGAACTTTCTTTCCATAACTCCTTGCTCTGATTTCACTCTGTTTCACACTTCGCCCTATTGCATGGAGTCGGTTAACATCCAAATCTTTTAACTGTTGCATCATAAGTTGTTGGTATTCTTCTGTAAGACCACCATCAGTAAATTCTGTCCGGCCAGATGATACTCGGATTTCGGCTGGTAAAACAGCATCTTGGCCAAACGTGAGTTGGTAAGGTGAGAACCCTGTGGCCGTATTTCTGGTATTCCTATGTGCCCATAAAGCTTGAGACAATAACAAATGCCACTTTCTTGGGTTCCCTTCCACCATCTTCTTTATGATCCCAACAATAATCTTATTTGCTGCTTCCGCCTGTCCATTGGCTTGGGGATAATAAGGTGACGAATGATGTAAACGAACACCGAATTCTGCCAAGAAACTAGAGAACTTTTCCCCTGTGAAGACCAAGCCTTGGTCGGTTGTTATAGACTGAGGAATACCATATCTGTAAATAATTTGGTTCAAAACGAAGTCTATCACTTCTTTCTGATCCACATTTTTCAAAGCAACTGCTTCTACCCATTTGGTAAAGTAGTCAGTTGCGACCAAAATGAAACAATGATGTTTCGATGAAGCAGGATGTATTTTACCAATAATATCCATAGCCCATGATTTAAAAGGCCATGGTTTTGCCAAGAATTGCAATTCGGTTACTGGCAAATGGTTTAAGTTTCCATGTCTTTGACATTCCTGGCAGCCCTTGGCAAATTGTATGCAATCTTCAAAAATCTTTGGCCAGAAAAAACCCAAACGATGAATGGCCCATCTCATATTCAGACCTGCCCGATGAGCTCCACATATCCCACCATGTACTTCTGTCATCACCTCTAGAGCTTCTTTAGACCCCAAACATTTCAAAAGTAAACCTTCAAATGATCTCTTATACAAAATTCCATTTATCAATTGAAAACGCAAAGCTTTCAATCGTGTCGCAATCGAAACACTTGCACCTGGATTCTGTAAATATGTGATAAGCTCTGTTCTCCAATCGGGCACTGTTTCACTAGTATCTTTATGTCCGACTGTAACTAATCCGTCGGGCTCCTGTCCGACAGTAACTACGCAGTTGGGCTCCTGTCCGACAGTCTCCTGCCCAACCATAATTTCGTAGTCGGTCTCCTGTCCAATAGCCTCTTGCCCGACCGTAACTTCGCAAG